AACTCCCCATTTTCATCATTGTCCCTAAAATCCACAGTTCTTATGTACTACGATATCTCAATCTTGATTCATTAACGAAGTGAAAATTGCCTCCCTCTATTGTTCTTATAGTTCTCGGTCTTCAAACTTCCAGTGTGTAAAAAAGTCAGACTCGTCGAAAGAAAGAAAGACAGAGAAAGAAAAAGACACTTACTCAAACTTCCTTTGGTGAGCGTCCTACCCTTTCTTCGCTCATTAGTGAAGGTGACCAGAGCCGTGGCTCTATGTACCTAACCTATGGATTTGAGCAGTCGAAAACTACAGCAGTCTGTTAAATGAAGCGATCTATAGTATATTTTTTATAGGTTAAAAATTGAGAATAGAAGACAATATCATGCGGCAGAAGTTCGCACAAAAAAAATGGAAATTGATTTTTTTTTCATTCCATAACCTGCTACTACATTAACTAAATTGCTTACAGATAGCAGACCAAATCCAGAATGCTGCATTTATGTTCCCGGCTGAACCATGGGCTGAAGTATCTCCAGCCGCTATCGATCTGATACGGCGTCTCCTACGGGTAAAGGTGAGATAGAAACCTACATCATCGTGACCTTTTTGTATATTCAGCAACTGGTTCTGAACAAAACTTGATTTTTTAGATAGAAGAACGCCTAACAATCGACCAATGCTTAGCTCATGAGTGGTTGAAAGGAGAGCAGCTGTATCGGGACCTTAGGAGTTTGGAACTGCGATTGAAATGCCCGCGGTAAGCACTGTGAGTTAATTTCTATGTCCCTAAATAACAAGAGTAGTTTAGATACCTTACAAGTCCCGCTGACGACGAGAAGTACGCTGAGTTTCTACAGCAACAAGGTCTTGTTCCCCAAATCTCCTGTGCTACGAGCTCGTAGACGAAACACCTTTGAAAGAAAAGACATAATATCAACATATTCTGTAACAGCTATGCTGAATAAAGGCTTAAGGTCTTTTTCCTGTGTTTTACCGCAGTTCTAAATTAGGGCACAAAGAACCAAAATTCCTGACCTCAATAATCTACAAAATTTGGACAGTGGGAAGTACTGCTTATCATGTTACTTGTAAAGGCTAGATTTTTTGAGATTGAAGAGATCGCTCTTTGCTTAGTTGCGTTTGAGCCCCAACTTAAACAAGACATATGCGAAGATAAGAACAAAAGTTTGTATTGTACGGGACCATAAGTACTTGCTCGTAATGTTGAACACTTATAGTATTCTGAAAATCCCCATTGTTAAAAAGTTGATCACCAAATGGCAGAAGCACACTGCTAAAAGCTTAAAACGTCGTTTTCACATCTGCCTTCCATCTCTGCTAAACCGGAAATAGCGTGCACAATCTGCTCAGTTGCTTGCAAACTCAAAAATTCAAAGGGCAAAGTAAAAACCATGTTTAGTGATAAGAAGTCTAATCAACAAACAACTTTGTATGATTTAGGCAAATTTGAATCATTGACACAGCAATGATTGGCACACCGCACACGCTATTTTTCATGGGAAGTTTCATAAATTCATTTCTACCAGATATGGAAGGCAGATTTGAAATCAAGTTTTTGAGGTGCATATAGTGGTAGGTTTTTTTGTGGAAGGCCATGGTTACTACTATTCTTCCCTTGTAAGAGGAACAAAAGAAGGCAACTTTAACGATGGGAAAAGAAAAGGAGTAGGAGCTTTTACTCATACGATTGAGATACAGCTAACATCTCGTAGATTTTACAATTTGACATCTTACAACTACACCACGAAAAATAAGTATCATCGTGAAAAGGGAAAACTGATTTTTCCTTCCAGTAAAAATATAAAATGAAGTCACATCAAAATTTCGTCCCAAATTTTTCTGCTTAATAGACAACAATAACGTACCATTTATTAACAAATTTCTGTGTCACGCAACCGCTTCTAAATCATTGTGGTAGTGATTATACATAATAAAAAGGGAACAATAAATAGAGGCAACACAAAAATCGATTATCCCATAAGTAGCCACGACACAGCTGTCAGTGGCTAACATCCATTGATTCGATCACGTCGAATTTGATCGTTTTTCTCTTCAACACCTTCGTCGAGCCCGGCTTGAACTTGTAAGACAGATCAATAGGTTCAGGTTTCTTGCAGAACTCCGGTACAATTGGTCCCTTAATGATCGTTATTAGGAACACAAAAAAAGACAAGTTTATATTAACATATATACAGGCGAATACAAAGAGATGGTAAACCTGGAAGACAGTTCAGGAGGAACGGTACAGCGATCAAGCAGCTTTTATTACTCTCTCAAACTCAAAATACGTCCCAGTAAAAAAAAAGCTTACCCTAAATTCAGTCTTCCCTGGCCGCATGACGACGAGATTTAAGCTGTTTCCAGAAGCATTGTCTCCATGCATACCAGCATGAAGAGCACGCTGCACTAGATTGACTGCATCTTCCTCCTGAAATTCGTATCTTCTCCTATGTATACGTTATTTTAATATTCAAAAACATACACTCATGTTAGATTTGAAGTCTCTTTCAAGGACAGATATGGCTGAATAGCTTCCAGAACCTTGAGCTGCAAACGGTTTCGCCATTGTTGTACCGTTTGCAGAACATTCGTAAAGATGCGGTCCAGTGGGATCTACACCACCTAGAATAGAAATTTTGGAGTTTTACTAGCTATCCCCTTTTCAAAATATTAAAGCTAGAGTGAGAAAGTGTTTGCTCCAACTAGAAGCATTACTAATGACTGCACTAACTTGAGAAATTGCTTAAGCAATATAAGAAAATGTCATCTTTTTTTCCTCTTTTCTACATAAAAGCATGTCTGTCCCGAAGAGCTACTAAATCAATTTATTCGCCTTTCAGGAACTCCACTTATTCTTCGCTCTCCTTTGCCATAACATTTTTGTATATCGCAGCGCCAAGAGGAGGAGGAAGGCTAAGGTTGCCAATTTTCCAGATATTCGACCTCTTAATGAGGCATTTTTCTTGCATCCACTAACGTCTAAGCGTTGCAAAGAGCTATTCCAACTAAGGAAAAAAGCTTCAACTATCGCACTACAATCTAACTCTCTTTTAACATAACCTCATATCTGCATCAAACATTTCAATGAAAAAAAAAGACTCATATTGTATGCATTTTACGCCTGTGGGTACATCCATCTTTGGAACGTATATCAAAAAATCTACCGCAGTAACTTGACGCGTGTAGGGTACATCCATCTTTGGAACGTATATCAAAAAATCTACCGCAGTAACTTAACGCCTGTGGGTACATCCATCTTTGGAACGTATATCAAAAAATCTACCGCAGTAACTTAGACACAGTAAGGTTTTTGATTTTCACAAATGTCGGTAACGTGCTGAAGCTAAAAATGTGTCCGAGAGGTCTGTGAGGGACATTCAACGGTGTGAGTGATGAAACGGCAATAGAAGATCTTGATCCGTGCTGATGCACAGACAACTGTTTTTAACTTTCCATTTATTTCCAAACGTAAAAGGAAGAAAACACAGAAAAAAAGAACGTGATATCCAATTCACAATTTCACCACCCACTCACCTTCACCCTAAATCATAAATGGAGACACTTCACTATATCCCGAGATTTTGAAATTTCTGACTACCTGCAGATCTTATTAGACTTAAATTGCTCATGTTAAAAAAGCTTTATAAATAAAGTAGAAATCTGCTCTACGCATTGAGATTTACTACGTGCATAAGCAAGGTGGATAGTGGATTGCTATTAGTTGGTAACTTGATGACTTATTCGATGAAAAAAAAAAACAGCGAATTAAGCATGTGTATTAAATTGTAGTGACCTGGCAAAATTGGAAATAAAAGATAAATGGTGATCTTAAAAAAAGCTTTGAGAGCAGGCTAATGGGTGAATATCTTAAGAAATCTGAATGAGAGAGAGACGTAAGCTATGAATAAACTAAGGCTCAAATAGTCACTCAAGCGCTACGCATAATTTGGCGAACCTCACCTCCCTATGTAACCCTGAGTTAAACATATAACACATTATTTTCTATGATCCAACTGCTCTAAACAAAAACTTGAAGAAAAAAAAATTTTGGTGGTGGGGAAAAGCATTGAGAAAGGTAAGCTTTCGTCTTTGCTGCTGAAATTAACTATGTTTTACCAATACTTAATTATTCATGCGAAAACAAACTGACCGATGAGTAGATAAGCTCCTACGTAACCTTGATAATTGAAAAGATGTTGCTTGGCGTGACGCAATGCTGTTATAACTCGAGCTTTCCTTCCTGTATTGAGCTCCATCAAGCGAAGTGTTCCAGATAGCATTTTGCATACCTTCAATGGGGTTAATTTAAAGGACATATTAATGAAAATTGATATGTTGCAACCACTGGGCATCGTATGTAAAAAACGACGCGACTGCAAAAAATTACTTAAACTAGAAGTGATTAAAATTATAAACCAATAAATGGCCGAAGGTTTACGAAACCTGTAATCCACCTTCCGTATCAGCGGAGCAGGTCATTATATAAGATAAAAACTCGTACATGAACGATAGTAATGTCGAGTAGTAATTATGCATTTTGTGAAGCGGGGGTGAAGGGTGCACATCCTACAGCCACCAAGAATGTTGCATTTTGCAGCAAAATTTCCCTGCATTCATTGACAGATGATTTTACAAATATGATATATATGTAGTTTCGAGTAACAAGTAGATTCTTATAAGATAGAGAATTTGTTTCAAATTCTAAGGACACATTCAATTTTAATAGAGTTTATATTCCGGAGCAATGTGCATATGTGCCGTCTGCAAATACAAGGAATCTTGTCGCAAAAGCACCCCAACCAGAATTACCACGCATGCAATACGCACCAAATAGTTCACAACTTCTTAGACCAGTTTCGCAAATATAAAAAACAGATCAGAAGTCTCTATTTCCATTCTTCAGCCATATGCTGTCCACCTAGAATGACCGGGTCGACTAGCTATGCTTCTCCTGCACACAATGGTCTCAGTTCTCTTTCTGCTTCAATACTGAGATCGTAGCCACTAGTAGTTGCAACTTGTTTTAGCTTACTGTTTGGCAGTTCCCTTGCAGAACCGGGGGTCGCGGTGAATTTTTTCTCAGAACAGACAATCTCTAACATTTGATTCAAGCAGATTACTGGCTACCACTTTAACCCCTCATTTTTCTAGCAAATGCACTATTACTCTGCATGAGTGCTATGTGAGGGCCTTTCAATGCCATGTCTGATTGTGCTGGCTACCCAACGTTGTATCCGCAGACTTTACATTTTGTTTACTTGCGTTCTGAAGATCCGACATGTTCGGAAGGTATACTGCGTTGATACGCATATATCTAGCATTCACTTTAAACAATATATTAATTGTGACTGTATAATATCTTCAGCACAAAAGCAGTGTCCGGGCAAAAGTAAGAATTCAAAGTTTTATCTGGTGATGATGAGCGACCCCCCTGATTGGGTCATTTCGTGAATTCAGAAAAATAATTCGCCGTGGTAAGCGAGTAAATCGCTCACAGTGTTTAGATCAGCCCGTCCACTTAGCGTTTCTGAGCACCACTCGTGTTTGGTTCTCCAAAAGCAACGCTTTCTAACAGGGAACGTGCGCAATCGTTTCAAGATCAAAAGTTGAGGAAAAAAAGGAATATGAAATCGCGTCGCCGCTAACTCGTCTCTCTCCTTGTGCAAAAAAAGCCTGGATTCTCCATTTTTTTGGCAGTTTTATGATGACTAATGCTGATATTCATGTTCAGCTCACAAAAACGGTTCAGGGATTATTGTCTGTGTCGAAAATTTGCCCAGACCTGTCTCCTCCTATGCATAATCTCATGTTAGCACAGCTTCGCACTGTGCAGAAAAAGCCAGTCTCTAGACATGAACACGTATTTTGCACTCCTTTCTCTAGCACTGCTTAACTTAATTGCTAGGTTTTTTTTGGAGTAAGGATGGATGATCACGTTTCAAAAAATATGCTGGTATTTTTTTTTGTTTTCTCAATGAAGCATCGGAGTGATGGTGTAAATAAACTAATACAAAGGAGAATGGTAGATTGCTAAGTTGTCAAGGAAGTATTGCAAGAATTTCCACCGTTGGCTCAAAAACTGTCGCATAGGGTCTACATAAGAATGGTTTTGAAATATCAATAAATTGTATACCATTCTCCCGCTGAAAGCACACTCATGTGAATTTTGCCGAAAACTTGCGAAGTACGGTGATTTGATTTGTTGATCACAGGAATCATATCGATTTATAGGGCCTAATCGTACTATGATAGGTTTGTTTCTTAGGCCTGATACAATAATAATCTTATACTAACAACAGGGCATGTTAGATGTCCCGCGGTGGCAGCAAGTATCTAGAGCACCAGTGAGTGATCAGAACTGCAAAAATATTTTCCGTGTATATGGCGATAGTCATCAATCGAAGCCAACAATAATTTAGGCCAGCACCCAATAATAACGGTTGATAAAAAGTCACGTCCACTCAGGTCCACCTGATTTTTTATGTAATCGGTGGCCGTTAGGTAAGTGTGTAGAATCATCAAGAACTTTTTCTATCTCCCAACTGTGGAGGGCGTGTATGGAAGTAGTCACCGTTATGCCTCAAAATTGCAGTTCAAAGTAGACATTTTTTCGGATCACGGTAGCGAAAAAACTTCAACTTCCACGTTCGTACCTCCGAGTTAGAAGTAACGATGTGGTGGTACTATTATGATTTAATCCACCACAGTCTTATCATCTACCATCTTAAACCAGCATCATGCCAGCGAGACCCATTTATGGTCTCGGGTCGCATAATTGGATGCCGCTAAGATTTGTAACATAACTTTGGGCAATCATAGAAAGTGTTTGCTTGCAGCTGCAGCTTCGAACTGGCAGCCAGAAATTGCTTACCTTGCTCATTCGTGCTATGCTCATGAGATATAAAGCTTGTAACCCTTGTAAATCCCCACCAAAGTTCTACTATCATTCAACAGAGAAGAGTTATATAAATTTTTGCAAGTTTCTCCTGACAAATTAATATAAAACAAATATGGCAGACCTGGTCAAGATCAGCTGCGGTTCCGGCTCCACAAGCATAGATCGAATCTGTCAAGTAATGCACCTTCTCGCAGTGTTTGTCAGCAATAATATTTCCTGCAGTAGCACGAGAGTCGGCGCCCATAACCAGGCCATCCTAGAACTTGCATTTTAGCTTAAGGTAAAAGGTCTGATAGAAAAGTTTCTACTTTGTAGGTTGCTGCAACGATCGTGGTACCGGTGGAGCGAACTTTCGGGGCTGGCACGCCCATTCTTGAGAGGGCCATGTTCCGAATGCAGTTTGAGAAATCAAATGCTCCACCTTTGTCCAGCTCCATGCGGAGCACTTTCTGCTGTACTTCGGAGCAAGCCATCTTCAAAAATAAAGTGAGTGCTTAAGTTCAGTGAGTACCACTTAAAATTGAATGGAAAGAGCACACTGCAAAGACAGAAGATAGTAGAATCTGTCAAAAACGTATATGGGTTAATGCAAACGATAATTTGACGTCTTATGTACTAATTTAACTATCTAACAATAGATGAAAGCACTAAAAAGGCAAAGATTTGGAATTGTCATTCCCCAACCCCTTTGGGGTTTTGAGCGCGCTTTCTGTAATAGAGCGCGATTTCCTTCGTAAACACTTGGGTCCTAACGGACGACGAAGATATAGGCTAGTTTTCTTTTCTTGTATTATCTTGACTTTTCATGCTGTGGAAAAAGGTAGGCAACAATTTGAAATAAGAGTTTCTGGCAGTTGGTTATAAGTTAAGCAGTATTTTTGCTTGTATATGCTTTCTTATTCTTCAGTTCTTAAAAAACGCACTCGTATCTAAAGTTACAAACGGCTGCGAGAGGCGCGCCCCATGGACCAGTGCGAATTCACATTTGCGC